CCACCAAGTGGAGATCAATGGACGCGCCAGCAGCAACAACGGGCAATGGCAATGGCWGCGGCAGCGGCAGCTTATCGAATCCAAGAGCAGAGCGAGTTAAGCATTTTTAATTGTTGGACGCTGTCCGGAGACCGGAGTACGAAGCGAACGCGTCTAGAAATTGTAAAAGTCATTAAGGCTCATTGACCCATTTCGTTGTTGTCTGTGCTGTGCGGTTGAATAGTTGAATAAGTAGTTGAATAGTTGGGCATCATTAAAATATTCACAAACATACACACACACGCGCATACATACACACAGATAAGCATATATATGTATATATGTGTGTGTGTATATATGTATTATGCATAGACAGTCAATGTTCTCAATGGCCGAGCGACAAGTTGGCGGACTTTTTGGGCGCGACACATTGCCACAAGCCGCATTCAAGATCGAACCTGTTTTGCCTAGCAAATTAGCAGCAACAACACAAACATTTGCTGCTGCTGCTGCTGTTGCTGCTGTTTGGGGCAAATATTTTGTGGTAGCCAAAAAAAGTAGAGAAAAAATCGCATAACCGTAACGAGTATTAAATAGCGAATTGACCCAAATCGTTCGGGTGTTAACATTGTGCCTGAAATATCAAAGCGATTTACAGAACACAGCGCGAGAAAGTCCATCGCTCGACCAGAAACTAGAAACAGGGCAATTCTGGCTTGTAAATGCTAATGCCTGACATGCTGTAGCTCGATATGAATTTGGGTTAAGTGAGCACCGAGCGACTCTGATTAATGAGCCACCTACCTGGCCAGGCCCAACTATCTGTGCGCTATTTGCCATGTCTTTCAAATTCAATCAGCATCAGCTGCAAATTGTGACAGGCGAAAGCGAGACGCTCTTTGTCAAGTGCTGCTAATGGCAGGCAAATTTGTATTTATGAATAGAACTTGGGCTTTCGTTTCTTTCTTTTTAGCTTTTAATGGCAGATTTTTTGTGTGAAGGTGTAGAAAATAGGGAATATGCGTAGATTAGTAAAAGTGGGAGTAATAATAGGAATTGTGGTAGTAGTAAGAGTTGCGACTATTACTACTACTGCTGCTCTTAGTACTAGTAATAGTAGTATTAACCGTAATAGTGAAAATAGTAGTAGTAGTAGTAGTAATATTTACACTAATAGTAGCAGCAGTAGTACTAGTAGCAGTATTGCTAGTAATAGTAGTAAATTTGATAGTTGTAATAGTAGTAGGTTAAGTAGTTGTAGTAGTAGTAATAGTAATAAGAATGGTAATAGTAATTGTAGTAGTAATCAGATCGTAGTAGTTAAAGTAGTAGAAATAATAGTAGTAGTTGAATAGTAGTAATAAACAGAATCGTAGTAGTTGAAGTATAGTAGTAGTAATCAGAATAGTAGTAGTAAAGTAATAGTAATAATAATAGTAGTAGTAATCGGAATCGCAGTAGTTGAAGTAATATTAATAGTATTATTATTAGTAGTAGTATACAGAATCGTAGTAGTTGAAGTAATAGTTATAGTATTATTATTAGTAGTAGTATACAAAATCGTAGTAGTTGAAGTAGTAGTAGTAGTAATCGGAATCGCAGTAGTTGAAGTAGTAGTAGTAGTAGTAATCGGAATTGCAGTAGTTGAAGTAATAGTAATAGTATTATTATTAGTAGTAGTATACAGAATCGTAGTAGTTGAAGTAGTAGCAAGTAGTGCGAGTAGTAATAATAATTGTAGTAGTTGACGTAGTAGTAATAATATTAGAAATAATTTTAGCTAAGATTACTTAAAGACTTAATCTTAGGTTTTTTAAATTTGTTCATACATATATTAGTAGTCGTAGTATTATTAATAATAAGAACTTTTTATAAGAGCGCCCTAAAGCACTGACCAGGAATTTGTGTTTTGACCTACTCGGCCTTATAGTCTAAACATATAAAGTAAGCAGATAAATACATATGTACATACCTACACTGTCAAGCTGGTCTTAGATAGAACACATACACATGCACACTCCACATAGCCCGTAGAGCCCGGGGCGGTGCTCTATCTCCACAGAGGGCTACAACTGTTGACTTTAACTCTGAATGCAGCTGCGATGAGTTGAGTGCAAATCATCAGAGATTTATAACAACTTCAGACACACACACACACATATATACACGCAAATATATACTGCTGTATTTACATGTATATGTATAAATATATACACTTATGTACATTTGCACTGGGCCTGATAGAGTTTCAGATAGGTAGTCCCTGCATATTTCACGAGCCCTGCAGGCAACCGGCTCGAGGAGGATGTGTTTGTTGCCAAAAATAAAAAATACAAAAAAATAAAAGCAGCTTGTTGAAAGCATGTTGCAAAATATTTTGTATAATGTTCACTAACTCTTCAACTGTCTGTCTGTCTGACTGTATGTGTGTGTGTGTGTGTGCGTGTGTGTGTATTTGTGTGTTTGCTGGGCAAAGTTTTTGCGGCGCATGCAAATGAAATGGAAAACACTTGAGCAAAAACTCTAAGCTGCCAGAATGCGACCTGGCTCAGGGACCACGTCTGTCTGTCTGTCTTTCACTCTATCTGCCTGTCTGTCTCTCTCTCTCTCTCTCTCACTCTCTCTCTCGCTCTCCATCTCTCTGTTTGTATGTGTGTGCTTTTGCATTTGCCTGATTTTGGGCTGCAGCAAATGTTGCACAAAGTTTTTGATTATGTAAAAATTGCATTAAAGCTGCGGGCGGTCGGGGGCATTGTAAAGGGCTTTAAGTGCCTGCTGTTGCCTTTTCGAATGGCCAATCCCACAGGCCGGCAATCATAATGAAGTCTCAGGTGTGCCAGAACTCTCGCCAGACATGGGGCAGTGGCGAGAGAGCGAGACAGCCTGAGGGGGTGACTGGGAGAGAGACTGGCAGAGGGACTGAGTTGGAGCTGCTTAAGCAGCAGGGCCAACAAACTATTCAGTAGCCCGAGGGGATCCCGGGGCGTAGTAAAGGCCAACGGAATGAACTGGACATGCAATTTGCTGGCCAAAGACTTGGACATGCGGATGCACACAGTCACAGATCCTGTCTGTCAATTGAAAGCGCAGACGGCACGGAACGTAACGGACAGCCACAAGAATAGCAATGTGAGTGAGAGTGGAAATGGAAATGGGAATGGGAACGGGAATGGGAACGGGAATGGGAGTGAGAGTTTCGCTAGAGTGTGGCCGAAGGGGAAGCGGCGGATCGAGTTAAAAGTGTCGCCCGTTTGTCTGCCACTGTGGCAGCTCGCATGTCAGGCAGTGGCCATTGTCATCCATTTGCCACAGACACGGCCCACCACGTGCAATTTGTAGACAAAATTGAGCTATGAATGGGCAGCCCAGGGCAGCAAAGAGCAGCTGCAATCCAGGGGCACGCCTTTTGTTTATCGCATCGCCAACGCCTCGAGGCAGGTCAGCGTCGGCACGCAAGTGCCGCATTTGATGCCCCCGTAGTCGGCATAGCTCCTGTTATTCTCATAAATATTAGAAGTTGGCCCTCAGACATAACGCCTACGCCAACACTGACGCCGACGCCGACGCTGTTGTCGACGTCGCTGCTTGGCCCATACAAAGATGCAAAGGCCCAGATAGACAAACAGATTGTCGCCTGAAGTGTCGTATCGCATCGTCCGTAGCGCAGATGGAAATGGAGATGGCAACGCTGCATGACGGTGGCTGCCGCCCCCATTTCTTGTGGCAACTGCAACCCCTTGACTAAGGGATTGCGTTGGCTTCTACGCCAAAGAGTCCGGCAGCTGTGTGTTCCTAGCTCGCCAGTGTCAGTGACAACATGCAAATGATAATTCAGGGGCACAATGGGTATGCACAAAACTAACTCTTAAATGTGCAATCTATTCACTAAGGCATTGCTATCGATCAGACTAGACTTCGCCTGAATCGATTTACTTAGTGCTTATTTTACATCTATCGGTTAATCCATTGTATATCGATTGAGGCATGACTATCGATCATACTAGCCTTAGCCCAAATCAATTGACTTATTCCTATATTGAATAAAGTTTAAACTAAATTAAGTTTCTACTAAAGGCAACAGAAGAGCTGTTTAATTAAACATACAAATATAAA